ACACTAAGGCATCAAGCAGGGAGTTTGAATCGAGTAGCAGATGCATTGAGCCATTGCACATTACTCCTCACCACCATGAGCACCAAGATTGTCGGATTTAAGGTATTTCCTGATATGTATGCTGCAAATCCTTCATTTGGGAAGATAATTCGAGAGGTAACTGATAATCACCGACATAATTTTGTTTTACATAATGGTTACCTATTTTGTAGATTGCAGTTATGCATTCCGAATTGTTCACTAAGGCAGCAGATTATTAGTGAACTTCATAATGAAGGACATTTTGGGCGAGACAAGACATTGGCATTGGCCTCTTCTGGTTATTACTGGCCCAAGTTGAGCAGTGATGTCGCTCATTATGTGGAGCGGTGTTATGTATGTCAGCGATCTAAATGAGCTCTTACTAATGCTGGATTGTACACGCCATTTCCCGTACCTAAAGCTCCTTGGTTTGATGTCAGCATGGATTTTATCTTGGGCTTACCTCGTACACAGGGGGCGATGGATTCCATTCTTGTTGTGGTTGACAAATTTTCAAAGATGGCTCATTTTGTGGCTTGCCAGAAGACAATGGATGCTACTCGGATTGCTCATCTTTATTTCAGATAGATTGTGCGTTTACATGGTGTTCCATAGTCAATTACTTCTTACCGTGACACTAAGTTTATGAGTCATTTCTAGAGGAGTTTATGGGAGAAACTTGGAACGAAGTTGAATTTTAGCAGCGCATACAATCCCCAAACGGATGGTCAGACCGAGGTGGTAAATCGGAGTTTGGGAAATCTTTTGAGAAGCTTGGCAGGGGCTAAACCGAAGCGGTGGGATTTGGCATTACGTCAAGCAGAGTTTGCTTATAACCGGTCGAGGAATAGAACCACTAGATTCAGTCCTTTTGAAATTGTCTATGGTCGGAACCCATCTAGGGTACTTGATTTGGCTCCAATTCCACGTGTGGGTTGCTTCAATAACAAAGCTGATGAGATGGCTGAACATCTTCGGGGTATCCATGAGTAGGTGAAGCTGTCCATACAGGATAATAATACTAAGTACAAGGCTCAGGCAGATAGTCATCGGCGCCAGGTGTTGTTTGATGTTGGTGATTTTGTTTGGGCAGGATTAACTCGTGATCATTTTCTAGCTGGGGAGTACAATAAGCTAAAGGAGCGGAAGATTGGACCTTGTGAAGTGCTGTAGAAAATCAATGATAATGCTTACAGGTTGCGCCTCCCTAGCCATTTGAAGACCTCTGATGTCTTCAATGTAAAACACCTAAACCCTTGTTTTGTGGAGTCCAATGAAGCTACTGTGAACTCGAGGGTGAGGTCTTTCCAACTCGGGGCAACTGATGCCGGAAGATCCGAGTCGAGTGATGCTGATTTGTCAGATAGCACGATGATGGCGCTGAAATACCCTGAGATGGCGGATCGGTGCAAAGATGGGAAGTGAATCGCAATTATTTCCTTGATTGGAGGAATTTGACACGTCTTTGATAATTTGGCCATAACTTTGGCTACGGTTATCAGAATCGCTATTATGACCCCAATTCGGAAAGCTTTCTTCAGCGCGCACGTCGTGGCCACCTAATTGTGCTCTATGGGCATCAATTTAGAGCCCAAAATCCACTGTTTTCCTTTTCAAAATTCAATTTTTAGTTATTTTTTGCTATTTATGGTAATATTTCGTTTCCCTTTTTCCATATATTAAAAAACTCAAATTGAGCCAAATTTTTGGCAACCTTCTTATTTTACTTAATATTTTATTTTGATGTAATTTCGAAATTTTTCCATTTTTGGTAATTTTCCTATAATTTCGTATTTTACAGCTATTTAACCCGACTTGTGGGTTAATTTTTCGTCATGTTGCATTATTAATAATATTGAGTTGATTTCAGAGTATTTTCTCTGATTTTTGGGCGTTTTCTTTCGTTTCTTTCTTGCGAATCATCTGCTACAACAAGCCAACAGGATAATCATTATCCTACCCGGCGTCAAAATGTGTAATACCTAGATTGCCCTTCACTTATTTGGGAAAATTATTAAATGTTTCATTTCTAGGGTTCTAGTTGTTAAACAAATGGAAACCATCATTTTAATATGGACCTACTTATTTTTTTTTAAAGGTTTGGTACCTCCAATGGCAAAAATGAAAACTTTGGATCAATTCTGCTACTAAACGAAAAGTTTGATAACTTGGCTGCAATTTTTTTTTATAATATTAAGGTTACAATACCAGAATAGACAATTGGCATGTGTCCAACTCTCTCCGTATGTGTTGAGCTTTGATAGGAGCAAATAAACATCGCCTGCATGTTAAAGAATTTATTGGAGATATCATTTGATTATATCTAAATGCTTTAAGTTTTATCGCAAGTTGCTCAACGATAGATACTATTAGAATAGACAGATGTCATGCATTGAAGTATCTTCATACGTGTTGATCTTTGATAGTGACAAATAAGGATCGCCTATATGTAAAGTGTTAATTATTGTAACAATCACATTGAGGCGAACAACTCTAAAGGTTGCATGTTTTTATTGTTTATTTTTCTTTCTTCTAATTGATTGCACTCAATGGAATAGAATTAGAATTTATAATTCACAATATAAAATGACATTCTTAAGATAATATTTTAAATAATATACATTTGATTACCGCTTAGTTTTAAATCAAATTGTTCAACAATAAAGCATATGGCACACCAAATACAATTATGTACTATATCAAGGAATAGGAGCGAAGGTAGTGTGTCCATCCTAGCCCCCAACCCATATGGAAAATTAAGAATAATTTTTTCGATTTTTGTCCAAATATTTATGTTAACTCGGCTCTAGTTTGAATTCTAATTTAAGCTCAATGCTCAATTAATCAAATATTGTTGAAGATGTTACAATTATTAAATGCTATTTTCAGGACATTTATGAAATGTGAATATCTTGTTTTTAAATTAAGCATTTTATTTAATCCATGTTTGATTAAATTTACTTATGGTAATTAAGTAAATTTTATAATAGAAAATTTCTATTGATCGGATCTAAAAACTACTTATTTAGTAGTTAGAGACACTATACACTACATGTTTTGTTAAGTTTAAATAACTAATTTTTTTATTTCTACATATGTTTTCATATATTACCTTCGTACTTATAAGAAAATATTAATTATTTTAACCATAAAATGGATGTTATGATCAAAATAAATAACTTGCTTTATATTTGATCTTGTCAATAAAAAGAATATTTGTTAAAATTTATTTATTTCCAATTAGTATTTTGAAACAATAATATATAGTGATGTATTATTGATTGCGTGTTTCGGCCAAAACTTTCAATTGTTTGAAAATACTGATCGACAGATTTATTTAGAATAATATCCATTAAATAATTTCTTAGTTTTTCATTGATTGATATGTATCATTTGCTTATTCCAATCGTGGTTAGGTTAGTTTATATTTTTTAACGTAAGCATCAATTTTTAATTTGGTAAGAAAATATAAAAAGATATAGTGGAACATCTTAGGGTGAAATATTTAGAGTTCTTTTATTTCATTAAGTGTTGTACATTCTTTGTCGTGAATATCATGCGTTTAGCCTCTCGTGACGTGAGTTCAATAAAAAAAAAAAATTAGATTTCAATCCATCCTAATATCATTTACTCGCTCCACCCTTGTCAAGGACGTAAGAAGTAAGGATTGGAAGTATGAAAATGTCTTGTCTTTGAGTTGTCATTCCATGAGTTTAAGGAGATGTGATGAAGATATTTGAAACCTGGGCATATTGTCGGGAACATGCAAACTAACAGATATTTATAATCATTTGGTTTCATGGCCGCGCTGAAGGTATATATAATTCAAGTTTATGTCACAATAGGCATGAAATATGGGACTTCAAAAAAAAAAAAAAAAGTGGTTTGACATGAAATCTAAAATCTTGCTAATTGATGAAACGAATTGAAAAGGGTGGCATTTTGAAGGGATACAATGTTAAATTAGAATTTGTGGGTATTTATATTGATACTGTTATATATAACATATTTTTGAGTATTTAGAAGTGGCGGTCAAATGCACATTTTTAGCGAGAGAAGGTAGTTCTAGTAGGATAAATCTTAGACGGGAACAAGTGTTAGCTTGAGGGCTCCCATTGGTTAAAATCTCTTCTCCTTTAACATGGGAACGTACAAATATCGTGATAAGTACTTCAACATAGTATTCAAAGGAGACCCAAAAAAAATAAATAAATAAATAAATAATTATATTGAACTGATACATAAAAAAAATATTTTTATATATGAACAAGCCTATAAAAATCTAAATGAGCTTGAAGCTGTTTTGCCCATGGATGCCCCTAGGTAATATCGTTGGCAGCAAAATAAATACGCTCACGCCTAGCATTACATGTTGCAATGCTGAGTGATGTGTGAAGTGTGAAGGCACTTGTCTTGCAAAATTTAAGAGCAAATAAATTAGTACTTGGGTATGTATATATATATTTTTGGGGTGTGGTAAAGGATGAGTCTTTGTACTTTATATCGACTCTAAGCCCCCAATTAATGCTTGCTTTTATTATTAGGTGGCGCAATTTCCTTGGTTATTTGTGCCCGAATATCTTCCTTACCCTTGTAGATCGATAGTATTATAAAGGGAAAAGGACTATTTATAAAAAGAAATAAATATCATCTTTTGATGACTTCGAAACTACATGTGGCTAAGTTTATACAGTTAAACAAATAATTAGGTTACTTATATATATATATCAAACAATAATCAACATGTAAAGGGATATTGAGATTTGTGCTGCAAACACATCTTAATAACATTGATAATTTAAGATGGATTCCTAATATAGCTCCAATACATAATTTGATTATTTAAAACTCAAACAAGTAATCGAAAGATTGATATTCTTACACGAGCGTTTTAAGGACAATATCATGTTACTTACTAAAATCAGTGTATAAAAAATTGAATTACTATCTTAACAAGATGTACCTTTTTAAATAGAACATCAAAACACAATACAACCATCACACTGGTTTGCAATAACAATTAGTAAAAATCACATAAAATACTATGGACAGATCATTTTTGAAATAAATTAGAGCTGTTTTGAGGAAGGAATAAGGAACATAAATTTGCTGCTACAGTTCTCATGGCAACATCTTAAAAATGCCGCTCATTTTGAAGCTACATATGGGATATTTTAACAAATCTTAACGGTGTTCAATTTCCTGTTTACTAGCTAATAATTTTCAAACTGGTAATAGCAAATCAACAATAAAATAGATAACCTCAGTAGGCCAATTAAGCTCAAGAATATACTGAAGTAAAATCTAAAGATATCCAAGCCGAAGTTCCAAATCCAAGGCTTCCTTCGATTCACAAATCGGGCCAATTTCCGATTTTTTGACAATTTCACAGCTTTTTTCTTGCAGAAATGAAGTTTTTGTGGATTTCACCTTTCCCAAATTTTTTATTAATGGCCTCGAATGATTTACTGGAACGGAATCTTTACCCCGTCTCTTTTCTGTGGAAGTAGCATAAAAACATGAAGGCAGAAAGGGAGGAAATATTTGAGGTAATTTGGAATTAAAAGGTGGGAATTTCGCCAATGTAAATGAGGTTGAAATGCTAGGGTTGGGGTTCATATTTTCATAAGGATTAGGGTTCAAATTTTGATTACGGTTTCGTTCAAGATTAAGGTTTAGAAATGAATACTGAGCATTATCCCTTGGTGGAGACACTCTTAATCTGGCTCTATCTCTCCTATGAACATTCATATGACCACCAAGAGCTTGAGCAGATCTAAGTTCTCTCTTGCAAAAGCTGCAAGTATAAAATCTTGGTGGTCCTGAAAATTGACCCTGTAAATCTCCTCCTTTATTGCAGTCATCACTGGCAAAATCCCATGAATATGTTATCTTGTCATTCACTTCTTTCATGCTTCTGCTAATGCTATGGTGCTTCAAGTTGCTGCACAGTCTGCCTTTCTCCATTAATTTCTATGATAAATTTAGTCCAAGCAAGATTAAAATGTGTGTGTGTGTGTGTGTGAGAGAGAGAGAGAGAGAGAGAGAGTGGAAAACTTAAAAGATGAGTCGCTTATTAGGAATAAGGGAAGATGACATAGAGCTTGGACTTGGGGATAGGCCTCGGCAAAAAAATAGAAAAATCGACAAATTTGTTTGATTTGTTTTTTAAACAAAACATTGGTGAGTAATGAGTCGGTTCAATCATGATTTGAAATTTTAAATTGTTGGTTATTCGAACTGACACAATCTACTTACATGTTTACGTTTTTAAGAAAAATAAAAATCAAAAAATAATCTCTAATATCATAACTAAATTTTGATTCCCTCCAATGTATGATATTGCCAATAAGTAATAGTACTGAAAATTTTCTTTCACATGCTCATTATATTATACACTACATTTTTTCCTACTCGGATAGTCAGGCTACATAATACGTAAAAAAGTAACAAAATTCTTAAGTTTTTGTGTTGATCTGACTTTATTAACCTAATTTTATTTGTTAGTTAGTGATTCTTGTAATATAAGTTATTTAGTTATTTTATTTTTTGTAATTTAAGTAATCCTAAAACTTGGACAATTTAAAAAAAAAAAAAATCAATTTGGACTAAAAGTCCAAACTGAATAACCGATTTGATTTGGTTTGGTTTGGTTTGGTTCGATTCAATTCAATTTAAATTTTAGAGTGCGTTGGTTTGATTTGAAATTTACCTAAACTGGCTAATTTGATTTTTGTTTCGAGTTAAAGTTGAAACCGATCTAAACCAAACTACACTCAACCCTACTTGGGGACGTCGTAAAGGATAGTATTAACTAAGAGAAAAGGTTAAAATCTTATTAATTATATCGCTGGATCATTTATCAGTCACTCATTGAATGATAATTAACTACAAGTGACGGAGATACACTCTAGGATGAATGTTTTTATGCAATGCTAACAATTTAATAACTATCTTTGTAGCTCCAAAATGTTGCTTTTGTTTCGAATTCGGAGATCTCGAGAAATCTAATTACTAATTCGACTCCCTCATTTACAAGAAAAATAATAAGATATAGGGAATATAGACTCTTTTGCATCTCGATTCAAAAATCTCTTGTAGTAAGGTTGGCTAGAAATTTCTTATAAAAACACTAGCTTAGTCAGTTCTTAATGAGAATAATTTCGTCTTTTTTTTATTTCATGTATTATTCTCCTTATGCACATAAAGGAGGAGCCGGGGGGTGTTGTTCATCTACATCTATCCCAATGAGCCGTCTATCGAATCGTTGCAATTGATGTTCAATCTCGAAGAGAAGGAAAATATCTTCAAAAAGAAGGTTTTTGCACGGGTTTTGTTTTTCAAGCATAGAAACCCCAAAACCAGAATTTGTAGGATTAATTCTCATAATGATAAACAAAATATTTCTTTTTTCTTTTACACTCTTTTCTTTTTTTTTTTTTTTTTGCAAAAATTATCGAATCCAAAATAAAGGTCCGATAGCACAGAGATCAGTTAATTCAATAAGAAATGTTCGTTGATATTTTCAAATATTATGTGTAACGTAGGATTATCTTTTTAATACTGTATGCTAAACATATGTTCTCTGTACTAGTATGCGTTGAGAGAGAAGTCAAAAGGTGAGTCATTGGTGATATACAACATAACCATTATCTAATGCATTCGGAATTGAAGAGAACTTTTGACTTTAAACCTTGTGTGCTGTCAACATGGTTCTTTTCATGCACCGTATAAGGTACTTTGTTGGCTCATGATCACTTTTATCTATTTTATTGTTTAGCACTATTCAAAAGTATAAACACAAAATACTCTCCATTTTAAAGAGATAATAATTAAAAATGAGTTTCAAGAAACTATTTATTTTTTGGTTTGTTAACAATGATTAAAAGTCATATTACGGTTTAATCTCTTATTTTCTACAAAATTATATTTTTCTTATGTTATTGTGATCAATTATTTCATATTGTGGCTTAATCTCTTATTTTTTTTCAATAAAATGCTATTGAATTAATTTGGTATCATCTCCGCTTTTCACATCGAAATACCAAGCCAGAACTGAGAATTCCTATCGGATGGAATTAAGGAGTGATTTTTCCCCGTGTTGGGCCATTACTTGCTAAATGTAGAGCGTGGTCCTGCCAATTTATTCCATTTTGGGAAACAGACCTATCGGATGTTCCTGACTCCTTTGTCAATCTTTAGACTTTACATCATATATTAATTTAGCCCTTGTTTGAGGCTAACCTTTCATCAAAATTCATTATTCAACAGTGATTTAATCTCACTTCAACTACACGTTTTTCAATAAAATAATATTACATGTAAATCTAAAGCTTTTCTTATTTTATAACTACATATTTTTCATCAATATATTATTCAAAAATATATTTTTTGGACAAGAATGGGACTCAAACAAGGACTTAGTAAGTTCATTTGGTGAACAATTTCCCATGTTTTTTTATTATGGCAGCACTATCCCCGAGCAGATGGGTCCACAGGAATAATAGTAATTGATGCCGTTGAGAAGTTAATCTTGTAACAAATTTTTCTTAGAGGTATCGATGAAAATGTTTAGATCATTGGAGTTTAATATATATTTTTATCTTTTTCTTCTAAAATATTGACTTTCACACCAAGGTTGACACCACCCATCTAGTTTGGGGTACGGGAGTAGTGGCTTCGACTTCATTCTTTACTTCTTAGATTTTGTGTCTTGTACTAATGTTGTCTTCGACATTAATTGCTCGTTCCATAACAAAGAGAGATATTGGACATACAGATTCTGATTTCACAGAGTTCATACAGACCACTCACAGTAAGTGGGTGGGGTGGGGTGGGGTGTGGTGGGATGGATTTTTTGGCACTTTTTTATTCATATGAGACTCACATTCATGTGAGATTTCTATATACTTTTTGTGAAATAAATTCTATACGTATGGAAAAACTTCATAACAAAAATAAAATAAAATAAATTATCCTTCTTCCCAAGAACATCTTCCCAGGTCTACAAACACCCATAATTACTCTACAATTAGGTTTAGTTTGTCCTTGAATATACTGCAAAGATTAATGTATATTATGATGACAAATAAGTAGCTGTAATTATAATCAGTTGCAGACAAATTCATTCAAAAAGCTGTAATGTTTAAAGATAGTACAAAAACGCCATATTTTTCAAAGAAAAAGTTATATCAGAGAATCAAAATACATTTCCTTTTTGCTTAAATCGTTATAAGTTTAGATAGAGCCTCCAAACTAACAAAAGATTGCACTACATTGGGAGAGATTTAGTGAGTGACTTGTGGCCAATGAAATGAATCAATCCCATTCCATATATAGTTGCAGTTTTCTTAGGTTACACAGCCCAAATTGCAGGAATTTTCTAACAATGTATAATTCATAGAGGTATAGATACATACAATCATACATACATATTCTACAATTTTGTATATGTATATATACATTAGTCTTTTTTTATCTAACCTAGAAATTTACTCGTAAAAGCTCGAGGGTCAAAAGGTTTAACTGGGATCAAACCTAATCAACCAATGGCTTGTTTATCCTATTGTTTTTCTTGATTTGTTGATTAGGTTTCTTCTTAGTGCACGTTTGATTGGTGATTATTTATAGTTTAAGTGAATATATAAGCTGTTGGTTCTACATAATATTTGATAGGATATTTTTTGTTTTTTCATCGAATTGACAAGTTTGAACTAGACAAACAGAGTGCCATCTTTTAGAAAAAGGAAAAGAAAAAATAGAATTATTTACTATATGTGAAAATGCCAAAAAATATGTAGAAAAATGGCATAATAACTTAACTGAAAATTAGAAAAGGCAAAGGGGCAAAGTGATTTTGTGCTCAACTTTTAGATAGCAGAAAACCTTTGACTTTGTTGCTGTCTTGTCTGAATAGCACATAGGTTTTGAAGAAGTTGAGGAAACAGTAAATTACATGGGAACTATCAGAACTTCGTCACTGTTACGGTTATATATTCATGGAATAATACTTTGTTCATCACATGATACTATTTCTGAATTTTGAGGTGATAAGAAAGAAAGCTCGACATTTTTTAAATATAATAATAAATATTAAAACTAAATATAATCGAATGTTTTACTCTGGAGCATTATATTAAGATCTTCGTCAAGTTTGTTTTGACAGTAGTTGAAATCAAGGATTGTTAAAATGAATTGAGAAAAATTTCAAAAAGAATCCGATTATTTCACCATGTTCTACTTGGCTGGAGGGATATGACTCCAACTATATTCTTGCAATTAGATCGTTAAAATTAGGGGTTTGATGTATAATGTTGATGCTGTAATAAGAGTATCTTGTGCATGAATTGGAAGCTCAGATTTTCTAAACATTGGTGAAGATGTTTGAAACATTCTACTAAAAGTTTACAGACAAAGATAGATTGTCTAGAACGTAAAGGAAGTAGGATGCACAATTGGAGTCGCCGACTCTTTCACGTGTCCCTCGTATGATATCCCTATTCCCTAATGATGATTATCATGTTGCCGCACAAACAGGATCATGCACTCTCTTCAATCCTTTGAACAAAATGTGGTAAGAGAAAATGAAATAAAATTCATGAACTGGCCCTCCATCTCCACACTTAGAAATTATAAATTTACTACATTTAAGTTTGAATGTTTGCTCATATTACAATCTACTTTATGAATGCATAATTTGTTTTGACTACATAGAGAATAAAAAGTAAGATTAAACTATTATTAAGCAACAAAACCATTAGAATAATTATGGAATATATCAATTAAATTCATCAATAACTCTTAAAAGAAACGACACAAAATTTGAGGCTTTTTCATTATATACTCAAGTGTTATGTCTTGCAAAGCCGGAGGACTGGAGCTGTAATTTTTAAGGACGCTATTAAGATGTAATAACCTTGTTCTCAGAGAGAGAGAGATTGGTTTCTTTAATCTAGATACAATGTTCT